TATTATTATATTGTTATGTTATTATTAAATATGTTACTATTACATAATATTTTATAATTATTAATTTATATAATTTATTTATTAAAAGAAAAAAATATAATAATATTATAGTGAATATACTATTGTATAGTATATTATTATATTATTATTTATTATCAATAATTTTTTTATTATTTTATTTATATTTATTATTATATAATACATTATTAACATATTAAATATTGATATTTAATATGTTATTATATTATTATATAAGATATTTTATTTATTATATTTTATATTATTTAATATATTACTAATATATTAAATTAACTATAATATAGTATATTGTAATATAATATAATAAGCATGTTGATAATAACTCTATATTAATTATATTTAATATATTATATTAGATATTATATTAACACATTCTCAAACTCAAAACCAAAACACCAATCTTAAAACACCTAAAATGTGCTTTGAAATAAGTGTTGTGTTTTTGGTTTGAGGATGATTTAGCTCAAAAAACGCCATGGTTTTCAAACGCATGGCGTTTTGTTTTTGATAAAAACACCACGGAAACAAGTAAAACACCATGTATCAAAACGGAACCTTAGGAAATAGATTTCCTATTCTTTGATTTCCGATTTTTTTTTGTGAAACGAACAGCCCCTAAGGAAAAAAAAAGTTTTTTTTGAACCAAAAAGAAAAATGCATACCAAGAATTGGGTGAAAGAGAAATGCGGACTAAAAGATCGATAAGTAACGATGCGAATTAATTCGAAATAATAAACGATTTCAGTGCAAAAGGGAAAGAAATTTATTTATGGATTAATGAAAAGAAAGAAATATTATATGTTTAGACAATTGAGAGAGCGGACGGCTCAATTTGAATCAAACAAACCATTTGCGGAGCCCCGATCCATCGTGGGCCCGTGGCCCGTTTGAATCACACGCTTTACTGGCCGAAACCCTAACCCAGTTCACCTCGCAGAAGCCCAGGAGGAGGAGGAGGAGGGCGAGGACGATCACCGGCGATGTCGTCGATCTACGTGTCGGAGCCGCCGACGAAGGGGAAGGTGGTGGTGAAGACGACGGTGGGCCCCCTCGACATCGAGCTCTGGCCCAAAGAGGCCCCGAAGGCCGTTCGAAACTTCGTCCAGCTTTGCCTCGAGGGTCGCTACGATCGCACCATCTTCCATCGTGTCATCAAGTCGTTTCTCGTTCAGGGCGGCGATCCCACTGGCTCCGGTACAGGTTAGTGGGCCCTAACCCTAGCCCTAACCCTAACCCTAATTTACTGAATTTGATCTGTGCTGACCCTAACCCTAGGGTTTGTTTGGTTCTCATTGCAACGGCAAGTATCACAATGTTACGCTCAACCCTGACACTAACTCGAGGTTGTAACCTTTTTGAACCGGAAATGAGATTTATGTTGCAAATTCCAATTTGGATTAACCGGAACGGAGGTCCACATGTACCTCCAGTTATAACTGCAGCTACAGATGACAAGTTTTCGAAATTGAACAGGAGAATATGCAATCCAACCTAGTCGTAGGGCTGCTTTACTTGTCATTGATCGAGAAAGAAACCCGAGTTTTTGGGGGTGATTCCTCGAGAATTGGACAGTGGCGTTTTAATAAAATAGTTTTATTAGTTCCTGAGATATTATAAATGCTAGGTTTCCCATTATGAGCAATGTTGGAGGCCAAGCTCCGCCCTGTAGGATCGCTTTTTCTTCAATGTGAAGTGAAAAAGAATATAGGAGACTATACATATAAAAAGTTTTGCACTGTTGAGTAAAAAGGAAGGGTGCGATTGGAAGGCTTCCCAGGAGGTCACCCATACTTGTACTACCATAGCCCAAACACGCATAACTACGTATTATGGAATAGTACATTTAACTGTGGAGCATTAGTGCTAGTATTATTGCATTCATTCATTTCCCTTCTCTTTATCCCTTTGTACGTCACCCCATCTGTAACTCTTCACACTTGAGGCCCAATTTGGATCCCATCAACATCCCAACCAATTCTGTAGGTCGGCATCTGTAGGCCTCGCCCTGCTGCAACCCTCAACCATAAACATGAAAGAGAAATGCTTAACAACTTTAGTTGCACAAAAGCAACAATTCCATTGCAATTGCAGTCTCAATGAACCAATCACATTGCGATCTAGATATACATACGGAGGCCAGAGGCATACATTAGTAACTATAGCGGTATGCGTGAAAAGTTCACATATTGTCTTATACATACAAAAAACAAAATGCAGCTCGTTAGAAGGATATAAATAAATATAAATGGGTAATTTATACTTAAATACCCCCAAGTGTAGCTCATTTTTAACTTTCATACCCCAATATTATTATTGCCCAAAAAATTCACCAAAGCTCAAAAAAGCCTAACACTGATACCCTAAAGTTTATTTTGCTCAAAAATGTTATACTATAATTCAAATAATTGTACTTATATTAAATAAAAAACAAATGAATAGTTTTAGTAGCCTCGGGGAAAGTGCTGAGAACCACTGTTCTAAGGACACGTTTGTTGATCTTGTGCAATTAGCCAAGACTAGATGTTCCTTAGATATATGATCCTTTCTCTACCAGATCCTAGGCATGCATGACCACGTAGGGAGATGTCCAAGGGTAAGCTTACCCAATAGTAATCAAGGAGAAGGATTTTCATGAAGGACAAAAACTAAGAAAGATTGTTGTTTTTCTATGTGTTATCTCTTTGCAGGGTCCCTTTTATAGACCAAAATAACCCGTTTAGAAATAACAAAACGAGATATTTCAACCAAGGGATTTCTCACGTTCCTAAAAACGTGAGAATCCTAAATAGCTAGAATAGGCTTGTGTACAGTAAAATACAAGAAAGTAAATCTCTAAGCCATTTGACTTCATAACATGCAATGTGAAATGCTATTGATTCAGCTTCCATTGTATAACTAGCAATAACAGGTTGTTTGTAAGAGCCCCATTTAATAGTATCTCCACCTAGAATGGACACAAAGCCTGATGTTGATTTAACATCTGAGAATCAGTTGCCTAATTGGCATCATTGTAACCTTCTATTACACCAGGAAAGTCAATATATAATAAACATGAATCTAAAGTGCCTTTAAGATATCTAAATATCTAACTACTCTTTCTAGTGCATGTTGATGTTCAATGCTAGGATTGCTAGGGTATCCACTCAATCTGTTTACTACATATGCAATGTCAGGTCTACTCCTATTTGTTATATACATTAGTAATCCCATGTGTGGAGCATATTTATGTTGTGAGATAGGATCTCCTAAATTCTCTTGGAGAGTAACACTAGAGCATAAAGTTTGGCTACATGTTTACTGTCACAATAATAATTAAATTTTCTAAGCATCTTCTCAATGGAGTGTTGCAACGACAAAGATATTCCTTTGTCACTTCTATATATTGTTATATTTATCTCCTTAAGACTAAAGATGAAGCACTAGATAGACTAAAAAAATTTAAACCCAAAGTAGACTTGATAAACAAATTAAGATAATAAGATTTGATCGAGGAGGAGAGTACCCTTCCAATGAAATGAAGTAGCTTTGTGGTGAACATGAAGTGATTGCTCTTCACTCATAATAGTGTTACTAAACGGAAAACTAGAACCCTAATGGATATAGTTAACGCTTTACTAATTAATTCAAGAACACCTGAAAATCTTTGAGGTGAAGCTCTGGTAAACTGCATGTAACATACTTAATAGGTTGTCTTCTAAGAAAACAAATAAAACTCCTTAAAAATTATGGAAAGAGAGACCTAGACTTGCCCATTTTAGAGTGTGGGGATGTTTAGCTAAAGTTAGTATGCTATAATTTAAAAAGAAGAATATTGGGTCTAAGACTGTAAGCTATGTTACCCGCGTACTTCTATAATGAAGCCGTACAAGTATCGGACACGTACCCGACACTTTCCCGTACCCAAACTTCATGGACACTTCTTGAATATATGCATGCAGTACCCGACACTTTCCCGTACCCAAACTTCATGGACACTTCTTGAATATATGCATGCATTTATTACAACATGTACTCAATTATACGATATATGTGTTAATTTAAAACACGTGCCAGACTTCCTAGACGTAGAGCTTACACTTCACATTCGTCTTATGAAACTAATGAGATATGAGTTGGGTTCGTTTTAGTCCATATCCAAGTTCAAAACTATATAGTTAATGGGTCGTTTAGATGTCTAGTAAAAAAATGAGTAGTTTACAATTCATATATATATATATGTAGCTGTGTCCCCGTACCCTACATTTTATAGTTTTGCTGTGTCCCCTACTCGTACCCGCACCCGTACCAGTACCCGTGCCCGTTTCCATGCAACTTATATTGTAGGTGTCATCTTTATTAGATATGCTCTAGATTTTATTGCAAATATGTCCTTAGTAATTAAATGGAGATTAATGAAATATCTAATAATACAATAATTAAAGCTATGCTACGTATTTTGGGGAAAAATGTTTGATATAAAATAAAATTTCTAAGCAAATAAATGATCAATCTACTAATACAGAACTTATAGAAATTTTCGAACCAAGAAGAAGTAAAAGAATTAGAACTGAAAAGAACTTTGAAGAACTTTTATGCATTCAGTAGAAGGCAATCCTACCTCTTATGAGGCGGTTATGACTTTTACCAATGCACCTTTCAGAAGGAAGCTATAAATAGGGAAATGAAATCAATTATTGAAATTGATTAGCTTACCTTCGGGATTGTTGAGTAAAAGAAATAACAAACCAAATATTAATTAAGATTATTTAGGAGTCTCACGTTTTTAGGAACGTGAGAAATTCTTAGGCTGAAATATCTTGTTTTGTTATTTTAACGGCCATTTTGGTCTATAAAGGGACCTAGAAGGAAGTAACAACATATAGAAAAAAAACACTTATTGTTTCTCAGTTTTCTTCCTCTCAAAATTTCTCTCTTTGATTAGTATTGGGCAAGCTTACTCTTGGGTGATTTCCCCTACAGGGCCTATTATAAAAGGGATCGTACTGCTAAGGAACATCTAGCTCGGTTGATCGCATGAGACCGGTGGATGTCTTTAGGATAGTGGTTCTCCATGCTTTTCTCAAGGCCGTTAAAATTGTTTCTTTATTTTTTATTAATAAATGAGCAATTATTTGAATTCTAGTCTAACAAAAAATAACCCAAATTTCAACAATCAAACTTTGATACGCCAAACTTAAAATTTTTTAAAACTTTTTTGTTAAACTTTTGGGGATATTAAAGTTAAAATATTGTTAAAAGTCTAGGGTATGAAAGTTAAATTTTATTGAAACTTTTGGGTATAATTATAAAAGCTAAAAATGAGGTAATAAGGGTACTTGCTGAGTGGAAAAAGCTTTGGGGTATCAAAGTTAAAAATAGAGTAAACTTTAGGATCTTTAAGTGTAATTTATGTAATGCAAAATTGTGGAATGTAATAATGCTGAAGTTAAATATCTAGCAATTGCACATGAAAGTCATGTGTTAAAGTACAAATAGGCGATCAAGGTATATATGCATAAGCAACCTGCACTATTTTGACTAATTGCTCTGGATTAACATTAATCCAGGTCAAAGTATTAGAATTATATTGTTTGCTTTCTCCCCCTCTCTTGCCTAGTTGGAGTTTCATCCTTTATTTGACATGCTGGGAAGATTTTAAAATTATTGGAATCTGGCTAACTCTAAGTTGAATGATGTCGTATCCCTTGTAGGTGGTGAAAGCATTTATGGGGATGTTTTTGCTGATGAATTCCATTCACGTCTAAGGTTTAACCACAGGGGTCTAGTTGCATGTGCTAATGCGGGGTCACCTCATTCAAATGGAAGTCAGTTCTTTATAACGTTAGACAGATGTGATTGGCTAGATCGGAAAAATACAATTTTTGGAAAGGTAAAAACTTATTTCATTTGTCCTTAAGAGGTCAAGTTATTTGGATCTCATTCCCAGTGATGCAGGTGACTGGCGATTCCATATTTAACCTTTTAAGGCTGGGTGATGTAGAGACAGATAATGATGATCGGCCACTGGATCCACCACCGAAGATACTTTCCGTCGAGGTACATATCTAGTGAACTGTCTTTTGTCCATTCATGGTATCCATAACATGATTGAATTGTGAGGACAACTTATTTGTAGAATCTTTTGGGATTTACGATCTTATTGAGACAAACAATGAATCCTTCTCATGGAGATGAGGCAACAAAGACTAAACTGTAAATGAAAGAAAGAAAGGTGTTGAAGGATCATGTAGTCTGACCATGTAGATAGAGAATGATAAGCAGATAATGCAATTTAAAAGAAAGAATCATGATGGACACTTTAGCTGCTATATATATTATCTCATATAAATTCATCAATTGGTCTAAGTATGTTTGTCATCTTCTTTGTTCTGTTCCACAACTAATTGTGTTAGTTTCTTAAATTTTATTTTTGAAGTTGTTCAAACAGAAAGAGGAAAGTGACTTCAGATCTTATTAGCCAGTGTCCACACATGCTATACCATCTAACTTGGAAGCCTGTAAATTAATATTTTTCTCCTAAAGAGAATCAAGATGCTATAATATGATCTTCTTGGCTTATACTGTTTTGTACTTGGACTTTCTCAGCTATAAAGCAAGTACATAAACCATTGAATGGTTTCTAATAGTATAATTATTTAGATATATGGTCTGAAAAGAGGGCTTATTCCCCTAGGTTCATGTATGTTTAAGATATGTTGATTATGATCAATGTACACTGTCTATATGATATATTCAATAAACTTTTTACTATAACCATTCATTTTTTTTACATTTGTACGTGCAGGCTAGAGTTCCTATGCATTTAAGTAGATTAAATGCTTCAATCGTAATTGATGTACGGATATTTAGTTTAATGGTCATTTTCCAATATGATTCTCTTATGATTTAGGATCTGAAAATCTTGGTCATTTTTCTGCACATGTGCAAGTTTCACATTTGTCATATAATGCTAAGAGAATGAACTGACTGCCACAACCCCCAACTCGAAAAAAAAACCACACACACAAAAAAAAGGAAAAGAGAAAAAAACCTGCTAGTTTTTTTCCCAAAACAAATGCAAGATGATGCAGGCACATTGATTAACCTAGCCACACATTTGCCAGAAAGTATGAGCTCTTTTTACCTCAGTGCTTGGAGATTTAGACAAAATTCAGTGATGTACATGATACTTTCAAATGCCTTAAGTACAGTTTTCTGATTTTCTCTTAGGTTTTATGGAATCCTTTTGATGACATAGTCCCAAGGCGGGTGGCTGAGAAGCCTGTTTCTCAAACCACGATTGATGCCACCAAAAAGGATCAGAAGCAGAAAGCTGTTAAGTGAGTATTGTAATGCTTCATTTGGATATTAATCTTGTGGTACATGGAAATGCTCCTTAATGTCCCATCATCATTTGTTAGTATTATGTAGTGTCATATGGGCACTTCTAGTCATATAATATTGTCGGTTAAATATTTGTTTCTGTTTATCTAGGAAGTTGAGTGTGTTATCCTTTGGAGAAGAAGTTGAAGAGGGTGAAAAAGAGGCAGCAACCATGAATGACAAAATTAAGAGCATTCATGATGTATTAAATGATCCTCGCTTTATTAAAGAAGAAGAACAAAAGAATGATTTGTTGGTAAAGCCCTTTTCCACATTTTAACAGTACTTCCTTTCTTGATGTAAAATACTGATTATTTGTGTGTTTTGACCTTCAAATTTGTTATTCTAATGTAATTGACAATGATTATACAAGTCACTTGATGTTGTACCCGGTAAATGTGGGTTAGTTCCTCTTGATCAATTTTCAACTACTTAAACACTGGTTCCACTCTTATGAAATTTATGTCATGCAACAAACACTGTCTATGTTTGCCATATTGATATGTTGTATAACAAAAATCTAAGCATTTTTAATATGGGATTGGTTTTGAGATCTGTTGCTGTTAGAATTTGCTCCATCTTTGTTATAGCCTCTTTGATTTGGTTAGTTCGGATGTTCTGGCCCTAATACTGTAGAATGCTGATCATGAGCAAGTACCCGTCTGACCTTGCATGGGAGGGTGATGTGTAGAACTGAACTAGAAATTTATGGTCATATTTTCATCTGCTTATAGATATTTTTGTGGTGAAATATCCTGTTTGATTGGCTGATACAAGCTTACAGCTTCTTTCCTTATTATCTTATATATATATATATATATATATATCACATGATTTTAACCAACTGTTTTAACTCAAGTAAGGCTATTTTGAAGTAGTTTTTCGAATATGCAGGATCCAGCAGAAGTTGAAAGAAGAAAGGACGTTCAGTTGTCCATCAGAGAGGCTTTAAGCTCCAAAAAAGGGTGTTCTAGTAAGGATCAAGAAGCTAATTCTCTTGATGCTTCTGATCATAGTGATGATGATGACGGTGATGAGGCGAAATTTGATGAACGCATGCGATTGCAAATTCTAAGAAAGCGCAAAGAACTCGGTGATATTAAAAATAATGAAAAATTTTCAAAAGGTAATTTATTTTCCTCAGATATCTCTATGATACATTTGCTTGCCAAATAAATTCCATGTCATATGTTCTGTTTTATGTATTTCTATAGGTTTCTCCATGAAATTGCTGCTTGTACCGAGCTCATAACACAAACATGATGTTACTAATTTCTGGTCTTTTTAACTTATATGAGCAATCTTCACCAGAAAATTGATTTGGTTCTTGTGGATGGGAAGCATATGTCAGGTCTCATGCCCCTCATCAATTGTTAGCTTTAAAGAACCTTTATGGTTCTCTAAGTACTATATCCTTCATAAAGTCCGGCCATATCATACATCAGACATCTGTCATGTATCCCGCACACTTTTGCATACAACAATAACAACAACAAAGCCTTTTATCCCAAATATTTAGGATCGGCTACATGAATCATATTCTTCCATTCCATTATATTGTGGGACATATTCTCCGGTAAGTTAAACATAATCATATTTTTCTTAATTGCTTCCGACCAAGTTTTTTTTAGGTCTACCTCTAGATGATTTCCAAGGCCCATTAACTATAATACTATCACATTTTCTAACCGGTGCACTAAGAGGTTACTGTTGTACATGATCAACCCATCTTAGTCGATTCTCTCTCATTTTATTCTCAATAGGACCAACCTCTACTCTACTATGGATGCACTCATTTTTAATCTTATCTTTTAGTGTATACCCACAAGACCATCTCAACATTCTCATTTCTACTACATTCATTTTTTGCACTTGTACCTATAAAGCATTGTTGGTCTTATAATGCCCTATAGAAATTTTCCTTTAGTCTCATTGATGTTCTATGATCACATAAGACTCCCGAAGCACTCCATTTCCACCATTTCGATTTGATTCAATGGACAATATCATACCAAATCTCACCATTATGCCGAATGACTAATCCTAAATAGCAAAAATAATTATTTTTAGATATTTCTCGACCATCAATATATATTATAGGCTCTTTTCTTTTCTTAGATTTACTAAAAATGGACTCCATATATTCTGTTTTTGTTCTACTAATTTGTGCATGGATATTTTGTTTTAAAACGAGGGAAAGTACTTGAAAGGTATTTATGAAGGATTCATGGGAGAAGATTAGTAACAAGAAGCATACATGCTATGGTTTTAACTTCTATGATTTTGCAAATCCGTGCCATTTTTTTAAACTGTTTGGAAACCAGTGTCATCTTTTTGAAACTAGGGCAGGGAGGCAACAAGTATTGAGAGTCCATTGAATCCTTAAATATGATATAGTGACACACTTTCTATCCCTAACCAAGGATTCCCAAGACGTTGCTTCCTGGATTAGTCCAGGGTCCCATCTGGTATTACTCCCCCTCAAAGCATACTTAAACTAGGGACTTCTTTTCATTCTTCCTTCCTTGAAATGATAGTTATTGACTTACAGTAACCTTTTGAGCTTATAGAAATCATTACATATCCTTTTGATTTACACCCCATGTGGGAATATTCACTTGGGCTTGACATACTCCCTCCATTGAGCGTGACTACCTTGCCATGCTAACACTTATTGTGTGATAATTATCTCCATGGATTCTAGAGGTGACCTTGACAGGTTCGAGTGCTGGCCAGCCCCAAATTTCTGTGGCATGACGTTCCGCATCCCATAGCACTTAGAGGGTGTTTGTCCATCTGAAAATGAATTGAAATTGTAAAAGTGACTTTTTTTGGAGAGTGAAAGGGCGTCCAGGTCAGAATGCAAGTGAAATATATTCTATATTTAAAAGAAAAAAAATTATTCTGGAATTTAGAAAAGTAAAGATGACATGGCAATATAATTTTATGTATTAATTTAAAATTGTATTACATCAATTTTCATGATGCAATAATAAATAACTATTTTAGTGGTCCTCAATTTTTCAACCTGTCATAATGACTTTAGCACTTTTTTAGGGGTCAAACATGCATTAAATCTATGTGTCACTCCGTTTGCGTTCACACACACTTTTAATAAAACAAACATCGCAAGTACTGAAAGTGGTTGGCTTTCACACTTCCATTTTTCACTTTCTAAAATCAAACAAACCTTAGGCCTGCACGCTTTCAGTTAGTGTTAGACTATATAGATTGCTACATCTTCAGCAAGGTCTTCTGAAGAGGACATCCACTCTTGTAATGCTCCCCAGCAAGCTTGACCACAGATTTGTCTCATGGTTTCTCCTTGAAAAATGTTAGCTGTTACTAATTCATAGCATTTATTGTATACCAGACACATTCTCAGCTTTATTTTGTGTGGGGCTATTCACTTGATTGTTATCGACACATCCTCACAGTATTTCACAATTCCCAGTGATTAAAATTTGCCATGTCAGACACTTTAGGACATTTGAAACCCATGTTCCATGGCCAGCTGTCAAGGTAACACTATACTTCGTTATGCTAATTATTGAATTTCCTTACAATTTGCACATTCTACTCATTTTGATGTATTTTACAAATTGTTTTTTTGGCGATGAATTCTAAGAAGATGTGGTACACATTCTTTCTTACAATTATTTCTTGTTGCTTTCTGTTAGTTTAAACTAGAAATGTGCTTTATCTCAGTGATACCTCTTGTTAATTAGGCATAGGATTCAACGAATATGCGAAAAGAATGGTGCACACTGGTTTGTGGGTTTGTTTGTTTCCTTATTCTCATGGTCAGTGTCGGTAAAATTTTAAAAGTAGTTTGGTCCCAACAATCTCTTCAAGTAACAATGAATAGCAGAAGTGAGAAGAGCTTAGTAAACCATCCAAAATAACTGTGTAAGGCCTTATTATTCTTACAGTATACAAATTTCCTTGTTTTCTTGTATGGAGCTTAAAGACCTGCAAGACCAATGAAGCATACATAGAGATGAAGCATGAATGTAATCAGCAAATCGCATTCAACCAAATAAGACATATAAGGCACAAGTATCGAAAATAAGAAATTACAATTATGAAAAAATTCAGAGAAAGTATTATAGCAACTCATGTCAAAGGTAGTCCAAACATAAATACACGTAAAGAAGCATAGATATAATAATCAAATACAGTAAACAGTAAAGATAGAACATGATAATAATAACAGCGAAAGTACAAAATAGAGATATACAAATAAATAAATATCAATATTCAAAGAGTCATAAACAAATGTAACATGTAATATTACTAGAAAGCACAAGATGTAAGACAAAAAATGCATAATAAATCAGGCAAAAGGACAATAAATATTATAATAAGGTATACACAACACATAATCACAATTGAAAATAGTATTAAGTAAAAGAAATAAACATAGATAAAAACACATCAATACATATAGACAAACAAACAAAGACAAATCATAATAATCAATAGCATAATGAAATGATACACAATAATTATTAGCATACAACAATTATATAGCATAAAGTAAATAATACGAAATCATAGACAGGTTCAAAAAAACACAAATAAAATTAAAGCATAAAGACAAAAGATATCAAATAAAAAGATAAACAAGATTCAGAAACATATGATGTGTACAACAATATAATCATCATGTATAATAAGCATTAAAATGAAAACGTATACATAATAATAAGCACATAAAAATGTGAATACTCATAGTACTAATCATGCTAACAAGATAAATTATGATGGAAGTAGTCACAAAATATTATATGATAAAATAGACGTAAGAGCAAACAAGTGATTCAAAATAATCATATTATACAAAACATAATAAGGAAATAATTATATATGTATTCGACAAACAATATAATAAATCAAAAATGTTAGTAATATCCATAAGGTAAATAATAAATATAAACAAGATACAACATTAATAATCATTACGGTATAAAATCAATTCAGATGTAGCAATATATGACATAGTAATCAAAATCACATAAACACAATAAGCATAAATATTCATAAGTAAAGATGTATAGTACATAAAATATGGATTATGGAAGATAAACTAGATCTATAACAAATGAAAACATAAGAAGGCATAAATTTGTAAAATAAAACACCGATATATTATAGATAAACGTACGATGAATGATTGATGAACATGTGAACATAAACACTGATAATACATGAAACAGAACACGATTAGACAAGATCGATACTAGAAATGATGAATGACTATAAATCAATAACAATATACATCGTAAATATAATAATCTACGTGAATACACTATAATGAAAAGAGATTAGTAAGTATAAAGAATAAAAGTAAAACACAACACAAGTAAACGTAATTAATTAATAGAAAATAACAACAAGGATACATAAGGACATAAAATCTAAAAACACTATAAAATAACACTGAAAAATAATCTGTGTATACAATGAATATTGCCGATATGATAAAATATTACATATCAAAAAATATAGCAACAACAAAAAATACACATACGTACTATAAACAACCCATGAGTAATTACTATACATACTCGCAACGCTATTTAGAATTATCTTTATATTAATTATAAAAGGATAATAATTAATATAACAAAATAACTATATGATTAATAACTCAACTCTAAACTTAGCAATATAAATAATGCCTGAGTATCAAAATAGAAATACATGGATCTTAGAAATAACAAAACCAATGCGAACATACTAAAATAATCTAACAAGACAAAACTTACTGATAAGAAACTATATACTGAAAATGTATAGGATAAGAATATAGTGCATATGTAGAATATTAAATTCATGAACTTATTAAAGTATATTACTAAAAATACGAACAATATATAATAGTCTAAAACATAAGTAAATAACAGGTGGTATGACAGATAAGCGCACACATACACAATATAAATATGCAAAAGTATATTTTAAACACAAGAAAATAATCTGCATATCAGATATGCTATGTAATGTGTGTGTGAAGCTTAGAGCAATGCAAAACACTTAATAACATGGTTTGAACAATTGAAATATATAAGTAATAGTATATATTTTTAATGAAAGGCAAACAATATAACACTGTGTATGATTCATAAAATAATGTAATAAATAATGCAAAAATCAATACAATCAACGATATA